TTGCTACCACAAACTAAACCATATCTCGTAGCTCCTCATCCAGACGCCTCTTGAACACTGCCAGGGACGGTGACCCCACCACCTCCCTTGGCAGGCCGTTCCAGGAGGCACTGTACCTGACTGGATAAGAAATCTGTCCTCACTGGTAGAACACTTTTCATTGAGTGAACTCTAGATACCCCAAACAGACATTATGGCCTCACATTGCATGAGGGGAGATTCAGCTTGGCTGTTAGGAAAAATTTCTTCTCCAAAAGAGTCAGGCACTGAAAGGGGCTGCCCAGGGAGGTGGTTTGAGTCACTGACCCTGGAGGTGCTGAAGAACCATTTAGATGCTGTACTGAGGGACATCATTTAGTGGGGAAATATTGGTGGCAGGTGGAAGATTGGAATGGATGATCTTGCAGGACTTTTCCAGCTGTGGGGATTCTATGATTCTCTGACACACCCGAAGCCTTTTCCTTTGTTTGCAAAACAAACTCAAATAAACCCCACTTGCAAAACGTTACGGAACCAAAAAACAAGACTGGGGTGAAAATATTTTTAACAGGTACCTGCATGAACAAATGAACAACTGGCATTTGGATAGTACAGGACTATGGAGAAAATGAGTTTCTGAGAAGTATTTTGCTAATCACATTCCAGCAGTGCTGCTGTCCTGGAGATTTTGTCCAGATCAAAGCTTTTCAAACACACAGCATCAGTTCAAGCTTCTTACTATGCTGAAGCTTCTTACTATCCTACGCTGAACACTGCAGTTCTAATTTCTACTCTATCATATCTGAATTTATCTTACTCTTCAGAGGAAGTAAGCTAGAGCAGACAACAACTACCACTTGAGTATAGTTCATAAAACTATAGAATTATTAAGTATTTGCTTTTAGTGTGTTTCAATTTAACTTTACAAATTGTGTTCTCTATTTCTGCTCTCATTGCACAGTACATATATAAAACACATTACATTTTTTTCACTAAAGAATTACCTGTTCTCATTCCTTTTCCTAAAATAAATTCAAGTTAAAATACATTATTATGGATGTCTAGAAAAGAAGAACACGTAGGTCTAGAACTTTCAAGTGTTATTTTCCTATTTAGGTTATTCATTATAACTTAAAAGCTTTCACTCTGGAATTTGCTGAATTATATCACTATGGCAACATTAGAGAAGTTGGTAGAATTTTTGGAAAGCTTCATTATCCAGACTTTTTGCAGTATGACAAGCAAGCAGTTCAGTTCTGCGACTCATTGTTGTTTACCACCAAGAATGAGAGATTAAAATAACTATGCAAGGCACTCTGCTGGACACCACGGATATTCACATGCTGAAAACTGGCCTACCAACAAACTAGAAATCAAAGGTAGAACACTCAAGACTGCAATGAGCAAACTTCCAGAATCTTTTCTTCTTCTTCAAAACAAATGTCAGTAAGTTCCCTTAGTTTAGAACAGCATGCAATGGCAGAAGAGGGAAACATGAAATGCTGAGATGTTGTAAACTTACAAACCAGCACCCTCAAAACTGGAAGTCCAACAAGATTTTATCACCAGAGAAAGTCAGTCAGATTGGATATTATTTGATTACATATTGAATTTACTGACAACAGTGGGATTTTCATTCTGCATAGCAAACATTTTCTAGTAACTCTCTTTTAAAAAGTTTAAATAAAAGAGAGCCACTTGTTCAGGAAGAAAGAGATCTCTAAGTGCCAAAAAAGTCCAGTATCACCGTAACCTCAACTAAATGCAGTTGAATATATTTAAATATTTAATACCAGATGGAGAGTTTACTTAGACATATGTCCACTATGCCAGGCTTGACTGAATAGCATATGCCACAAGGACATGTCTTGCATTCAAATGCACATGCAAGTAGTGCAGCAACACTTTGCTGGTTTGTTTGTTTTTTTTTTTTTTTTTCCAAGTTAATACATTAAAGGATGTTTCTGAAACAATGGAGCAAGGATGAAGATCAAATCATTAGTCAGATTAGTCTTTGGCACTCTCATTACTTACATTTAAAAACCCTTCCCTCTCTTAAAGGGTTTAAAAACCCTTCCCTCTGTATAATTTAAAGAATAGAAGGCAGGACAGGATACATAAAGGTATCAGAGAGATTTAGAAATGGAATTCAATTAAAGTCCTGCCAGATCAAAGCCACTGTAGACCTCATTTAAAATTCATACATTTAAAACCCCATAATGTAAACTTCCAGTTATACTGAAAGCCATGACATCCAATAGCTATTGGGACTCAAAGGAGGCTGTAAATCTCCACTCTTACGTGCACATTTTAGAAGCTGGCACAGCTACCTTGCATATTGCCTTTCCTTTCTACACTTCGGGAAACTGGAACCACAGTTTTGCACTTTCTGTACTGAACTTTCACTGTACTTAGTCATCAGTGAAGGCTGTCACTATATACTCCCTTTGCATAGTTCTGCCTTTTGGCATGGAACTATTTATGAACCTTTGTAGAAGCAGAGGTTAAACAGGGATACCAACAGGAATTGAAGGTGTCTTAAAATTCAGGATCTTAAGCAGAATTCCTTGGGCAGGATGGTAAACATACTGTGTTAGTCCTACGCCATCATACCCAGCAGAATAACATAAGCTGTGATGGACTCAATTCAGTTTCTTTTATTTTCTTTTCCAAATAAAAAACTAATTTGAAAAAGGATCCTGTTCTCTGATTCCCTTTATAATTTTCCATTACTAAAAATTCTCTTTAAGGTATTTCCAGGAGGAGAAATATTTTTTTTTCACGTTTCTTTTTGAAGCAACAACAAAATAACATATTTACTTATCTGTCAATGTGAAAAAAATCCCTGGAATACCTATCTCTGATGATACTGTAGCTGTGATGATGTAGTGATAAAGGAAGAATTATTTGATCTGTTACCTCATTAGATATCTGATATAGTTGAAAAGAAATAAAACAAGATTCCACATAGTACAGACATGTTTGATGGACTATTTTCTGATAAGGACCTCCTTCTACTTCCCCATACTCACTGCTGCCTTTTTAGAAGCGTATTGTCCCACTCCAGCCTCCTTCCTCACATATCCACAGTCCCACCACTTCACAGACACTCTACCTTTTCTTTGAAATTCTAAGTACTTAGGTCACTCAGAGCAACTTTTTGCTGCCTCTGCTTCATATATGAGGGGCTACACCCAAATTCTAGTTTTCTCCCAGTCATAAATAGTTGCATTTAATACTTATTATATAAAAATACATATACAATATATGAACATAGACTTTTAATAGATATTTTGGTAGAAATTTCTTGTAGGTTCATTATCTGTTTAGTATCTTACAAGAATCTGCTTGGACCATGTTTCCTGTTAGAGCTTACTTTTGCCCAAAGGTATATCGACAAATTAAAAGGCTACATCACTTACCAGAAGTGCAAACTTGGTGAATACTTTCAGTCTTAATTGTTTCTTAGGTGAACTGCATTCATTCGTACTCTGTTTCTGGCCAGATTAAGAGGTCTCAAAGCTGCAAAAGTAAATAAAATTCTGTATGGATGCAATAACACAGTTGTAGAATTTTTAACTTAAATTACATCGTATTTCCTGGTATGAATTTAATTCTTTAAAATGTGATTAATATAACAATATACATTTTATTAGAATGTTGCTTTTACGTAGCCTAGAGACTGAGGGAAAACATGCTCAACAAATAAAAAACACTAAAATATAAAGACAACTTGGTATGTAATGCTAACTAAAATCAGATGTACCTCGCTGTTAATTTTCCCCTCATAAAACACAAATTACTTATCCTTGTCTTCAGTATACTACTCATTACTACACAATGCTTGTAAATATGAAGTAATAAAACTCTACAAGATTCTACAAGAATATTTTATTGACGCATGGTTGTGTGTGGGAATCGATTCTACTGGTTAACAGCATGATCTTTCAGGGTTTTATGCTAGGAAAATATTTGGCTTAAAAAGCAAAGTGTACTCATGAGTGTTTGCAGCTTACCCATATTTAATGTTATATTCTTCTAAGGATCTCATTATTAGCCACGTTATGATTTGCTGAATTCTAAATTTAATTGGAATTTGGAAGATTGCTGCAATACTTCACACCAATTTTAACTTTAACTCTTTTTCACAATGTTCTTTTTTTAGGTCCCTCATGCCTTTAGCATTAGGCAGCCAGTTCAAGAACTCAAACACCAAAGTAAGTGAGAAACAATACTTGATTTGCGTTGGATATATTAGCTTTTAACTGGAAAAAAAACCACCAGAAAAGTACAAATGAACATTTCTACACACTTTTGACAAACAAACATGCTAAAGCGAAATATCTAAATAACTGGCAAAACAAAATCCTGTAGCTGGAATTCTTAAACAGCATAAGCTGCAGCTGTTTCTGTTTTTCTCCATTCTGCACAAACTACCTTGGTAATCTTTCATGCTACTTCTATCTAGAGAAGAATTTTCATGGGTGTAAAGGACATACACACAAGAATCAAAATCAGAATGAAGAATGTACAGGCAGTGTAAACAGATTTCTCCATTTTTCTGCCCAACAGATCTCACCAAGTTACAAACTAAAATGTTGTTTTGAGCCTTAAAGAGAGTTCTTTATTCCATTTATGCTTCAGAAAAAGAGCTGTAAGTGGATTCAAACTATTGCTCTTCTCAAATGAATAAAAACACTCTTCTCCATTCTTCTTGTCCTGTCTAAGCAGTTTTCCTTCTTGCTCTGGTGACAGTAACATAATCTCCTAATTCACATATGCTGTATGATCTGGCTCATAATGTACAACATTGATTTTGATATAATTATATATGCAACACAAACCTAAATGCTAGAAGTTCTTAGCATTTTAACTCTCACTTATCTCTTCTGATAAGCTCAGCTGAATCCTCTTAGAAATGGAGATGATATACTTGTATATTTCAGACTGGAACAAAATACTTTTTTCCTAAAACAATTTTTTTTTTTTTTTTTTTTAAGTAGAATGCTTATTTATTACTGTAACTGCAGATACAGGAAAATGCCTAAGTTTAGTATGCATAATATAAAAAAAGTTTAAAACACCCATGTATTAAAAATAAAAGCAGTTAAACCAGCAATCCAATTTTGGACTTAGAAAGAGATGTTAGACTGTCTGATGTCCTATTTTGTCCTATAAAGCAGTGAGATACCTTTAGAAAATGAGCTGGAGATTCAAAACTTTTCTAGAAGGCATGGTTATAGATGTTCCTGGAACTATAATCAATGATAATCATTAAAAAAAAGAAATCCTGTAAGTTCAGGATAGTCATTAATGACTATATTTCAAGAAAGAATATCATGTGACCGAAAAGGATATTTTAACACAGAAGTAGAATTAAGTTCCTCTTTCTTTATCTGATCATGTCTGCCACATGCAAGGAAAGGCCAACAGGCAGTGGATTACTGTCACAGCCCTGAAGCCTTCAGTAGCTCAAAGAGAGATTCCAGTAATCCTTTACTCGTAGCAGAGATGATCCTACCTTCAGTGTTGGTCATAGGAACATTCATTATGCAGCACATATTGAATAAAGAGGTTTGGGGTGAGATAATTATGCAGAGAGGGGAAAATCTGTGAATTATTTAATGCTTGTGGTACTACTCTTACTAAATAACTGCATAGTTAAACATGCTGTATCTTTTGCACAGGAAGGTTATTTGGAAATGAAGTAACACTCAAAGGGAATGCTTAAATCAGCCTAAAGAACTCAGGAGCTACAGTCTCTTGATCAGCCTATATTGCAGTATTCATTAGTATCCATGAAGACGTATCCAATTGGGGTTGTTCAACGTTTTGCCATAGCTTTCCTGCTAATGAACAAACAAACCAGATCAATGTTAGTTTGGATATTCCCAAAATCCTGCAGTATAATAAAAACATCCACTGAATAATCTTTGACAGTTTCATTAACATAAGTGCTGGAAGGTTCTGAGAATGTCTCAGCGTGCTTCTGCAGGCAAAAGCTCAAAATGTATGCACCATTTCATATGGTGCTATAACTTAGATTTGTTTTTTAAAAATTTGACTTAAGCCCTGACTCAGTTTCCTTTTTGTTTTTTTAAGCTTCCACTTAAAAGATTAATAACCAGAAAACAGCACTACATTAGGTGTCTGTGTAACAAGACTAGAGCAAAAGAACAATGCTCCTACTTGAAAGCATGTTGCACATCTTTTTGTTACTTGTAAAGCACAACTTACCTTTATTTTTGTCATTTATGTGCACTCCCAAACAATATTTTCTGTGAATTGCTGCCCCCTGTAAAACTACAAAAAAAAATAAAAAAAAGAAATGGTCACATTCTACTTTCTTAAGGTCATACTATAAATTGTCACTCATGTTACCATGGAAACAGAGTGTATTTCATCATTATAACGCATGCAGTGATAATTGTTTTTATTTTAGTCTGTGGATAGGTAGTTAATGGTGCCAGCTGCAGTTAGTACAGACACAGATTCTTGTCATCTCAGCACAAAGCTGCTGTCGGCTGTCACTGTGAGCTCCCCTAACCATCAGCAATTCATAGGGGAATATTTGGGCAGAAAGAAGAGCTGTTAACAGGCCTTAGTTTTGTGGCTGAAATAGATTTCCCTGCAGGAATTATGTTTTCATATGAAAAAGAAATAAACAAGCAACAGCAGAGTTCTTCACACTGTCCAGTTAGGTCTCTGCAAAAAAACTGGTTTTCATGTGGCAGCTTATAATACTTACATTCTATTGAAAAAAGATTCAGCTGCTATCCTGCTCGCAATACAATTTTTCTCAAGAATGTACAGCTAGATATTATGAGCTTGCAGCTAACCTCATAGTTCTCTATGCAATTGTACACTTTAACCTTAGATCAAAAGGTATTAAGTAAATGAAAATACTGCAGTTCTGTGAATTTAGAGACATTACATGTCTGCTCAAATTTATGCTTATTTAAAATACACAAATGGTTACTAATACATAACAAAACCATAAATGAAAGCAATATAGGATAAGGGATAATATGTGGTATGGGATGATCTAGCGTCATCCAATCCCTACTTAAAAACAGGTTGCATCAGTTTTAAAATGTACAAACCTTAATATAAGCAGTAATGCACTGTGGGGCCATTAACAACAGGTAGGGAACATTGGATTTGGATGCCATCCTTCCTAAGGTACAAACATGCATACTGGTATTTTTCTTTCATATAGAACATTGAACGTGAGTTTTCCCTAAATTTGGAAAGCATAATATACTTTTGGTTCCTTTGGATATGTATTTCAAAGCGTTACAAACTGGTTGGATTTAACAGGGACCTCAGGAAGATGTCATCCACCCCCCCTCAAGCAGAGCCAACTCGAGCAGGTTGCCCAGGATCATGTCCAGACCACATTTCAGTGGTATCTTCATGGATTCCACAGCTTCTCCAGCCAGTGCTTAGTCATCACCACAATAAAATAAAATTAAAAAATAAAAAAATCAACAACAAAACAACGACCACAACAAAAAGCAGCCCACAATTTCCTTACTTCCAGAGGAAAGCTCCCATGCTTCACTTTGTGCCCACTACCTTTTGTCAGCAGGCAGATCAAAGTAATATTTTTGACCATATAAATGGCCAAACAGTGGGATAGGAACACCTTACTGAGAGTACGACAGATGACTTGAACAGGTTGCCCAGGAAGGTTGTGGAATCTCAATTTATGAGTATACTGCAAAGTCTTCTGGCCATGATCCTGCTCAGCAAGCTCTAGGTGACCCTGCTTGAGCAGAGGCAGCTGGACAAGATGATCTGAAGTGGTACTTTTGTACCTCAACCACCTATTCTGCACAAATATGGGCATCACGTGAAACAGAAGCAAGCCAAAGCCTACTGGAATCAGGTGTCTAATGTTGTGAGAGAAAAATATTTTTCATAATAAATGTCAGTTAATTCCCTGAACTGGCTATTATAATTTCCAAGATTATTTGAGGAACAGAAACCACATGTCGCAGGTCTTGGCACTGGACCAACTTCTACTTCAGTAATGTTCCACACAATCTGCTGAGCAAGTGCTCTTTCTTACTGTACATCTAATGCTGAAAAACTATCAAGTTACTTTACATGAAAACTTCCATTATTACTTTCACTAAGATTTGGCTTGCACTACAAAAGATTTATTACCAATTGATTATTCTCAGTTCATGTTAATTTGGTTGTAATTAATGATAGTGATGTGGAATATTATCTCATCCTTGTAAGAGATGCACCTAATGTGTAACTTAAATATTAATGAGCTTATTCTTTATAAGGATAACTGCAAAGCTTAATGTAAATTATTACTCAAGGAGACAATTATTTTTCCTAAACTTAAGGTACTTCAGATCAATAGGTTTAGAGGTTAACTATGAAGCACAATCTTCTGTACTTAGTCTTCCTTGCTCAACACGATAAAATAGATCATACAGGATTGTGTTTGCCTCTGACATATCCCTGTGCAACTTAGTTCTGAAAAAAATCTCCTAGAAATCAACAATTTTATATGAAAAGCATTTGGATTTTCTTGGCAATTTTCCCAATTTAGAACTGACAAAATGCTGTAATAAATTAGAACAGTTTCAACAAAAGCAGATATTTATGCAGGGCATTCTGAAAACTGAATTATGGCTACAATTATACTTGGGACTGTCTGTCTAGAGGTCCCATCTGTGAACACAGCAAATTATAACAAAGTATTGACGGTGGTATAATTTTTGAATGCCAATAATGACAATAAATGTTGCTCAACAGGTAACACACAGCAGTCACCAACTTATACAGTTCTTTCATTGATCACTTGTCCTCAGATCCCAGGAATTGTAATGTATGTATTCACAGCCATCAGGTTTTACACAGCATCTCCCTGCATGCCTCCAATTATTGAGGTTTTCCCAACTCCTTTGGGATTCCTCACTCTGTAGGTACATATGTACCCTACTTATTTTGTATTTAGGTCACATCAACTATGCACACACAGCAGCACCAAAGAGGTCACCATATGTCCAAGAATTCCAGATATGTTCGTTATACATGTGCGTTCTGAAATGCATTTAAAACAAATGAGCACATACATATTTTTGTTCACAAATATTAAATCACAATTGTGGTTTTAACAATACATCAGCTGCCTCGTGCAAACACAGTTTGGGGGGAAACATTAGGTTTATTGCATAGACACTCCATAGCGCATATAATAGATAACTTCCATGTTCATCTCAGGTAAATATGACAGTTGTATATTTTCTGAATGCTTTCCAGGTGGACAGCCAGACTGGAAAATTTTTGCTGCATAGGCTGCTATAGGCTATATTTGGTAATAACTCATTTCCCAGCAAGTATATATAAAACTATGCTAGATGGAAAAACAAGTTTCTAATTCTCACCCGTCTGAAAAGAACTCAGTAAAAGGAAAACTGAGAGGGTTCTGTGCAAACGCTGCCTGATGCACGAAGCTGGCAATGACTGCACTACGATCCTTGTTCTTCTGACCCCGGCACATTTGCCCACAACCTGGCTCATCTGCTTAGGCCAGGCACTGAGCTGGGACCTGGAACAGAAGCAAAATATAATCAGTGAGGTGGTTTTGGCTTGTTTTATTTTTACAAATACACACATGAGCAAGCATAGGTAAAATGAATACTGCAGAAGGAAGAATAATTTAGACATATTTCAGCAGTCAGCTTGACTTGCACAATACTTTGTTATGGTATCTGTTAAATGCTACACGTTCTGTCATAATTCTAGTGTGGCACAACATTCTATGTTCTAAGCTGAAGTTAATCAACACACTGTGTGGCAAAGACATACAAAAACTAGGTAAGAACAGATCATGTACAGTGATATGAAAAAAACAGTACTACAATCACTATTTGGACAAAAATAGGCATCAAAAGTAGCATTCTTTTCATATTCCAAATGACCAGTATTGAGTTTAATACCTTGACTTTTTCCCTAGGAGTTTGCTTAGCTACACACTTGTAACTAAGTATGAACATATAGTTTAGAGCTATCAGTATAAGAACAGCAAGAAAAGGGACCTTTCTCCAAAAAGTAGCAGAACTGAAGTGTGTTAAAACAAACAAACAAACAAGCAAACACCAAAACAAAGCAAAACCATCCTACTGAGCAAAAAAGCAATCCATGTAGTTGCAGGTATGTTTTGATATACTGTAACATCACACAAGGCTGAATGAGCTCAAAGACAAACCATTTGGAAAAGGCTCACTGGAAAATACTTTGTAGCTCATTTTTGAACTGCCTATGTGGGGCTGCATGCCATAATTTCTGAGAAGGAAAGTGGGGATATCTTAGTGTTTAACAAGGTTAAACATAACAGCTCCAGAGAGATTATCCAGACATCAGCCAGTGCATGGAGCACATCAGAATGGTAGAGAGAACTCTGTTTCACTACTATCTTTTATGCTTATACCAGCACAGAGTAATGATTTAAGATCTCGACTGGGGAAGAATTAAAAATAAATGCATCAAAGTTATTAAGTCAAACAACTATTCAACAAATTTATGGTATTTACACAAAGGTTACTTTATGAATAGTGACCATTTGAGTGTCATCTTGACCCTCAGAATCCTGAGTAAGCCTTCACAGAACAATGCAGACAATACCAGGCAAGAGTCAGCTCTCCATGAAGCTCAGAGAAATTTTGCATACGTTTACTATAGAAATAAACAAATCAGTTTGCTTTCTTCCAAGTGGTTTTTGTAAGCATTTGCTAATTTCCTTGACAATTTTTTGTGCTTTCATTGTATTTCACTTTGCATGACAGGGTACAAAATCACCCCACATGTATCAAATTCACCTGGCCATCCAGAAAAACTACTAGCCCTTGGTTTTTTTTTTGGTTTTTTTTTTGGGGGGGGATGGGAGGAAGGAAGGGGAGGGACAGGGTGGTTCAGGAGGGTGAGGTGAGACCTGCTATAACAGCACTGCTCCTGCCCTTATATTTTTAACACTTTTATTTCACTCTTTCTTCTTTACTCATCCTTCTCCCAATGTTAGCAATAGATGAATTTTGGTTACCAACATACTTATGCTTTACCTCACAAAGCATGCAAGAGCAACCATAAGCAATCACCAGTGACTTCAGTAGTTACTCATTAACTTGACAAAAGCTGGAAACTGATGGAGCAAATTGCACTCACATGACTAGTGTGATTGATCATCTCGATGTGCAGTTAAATGGAGGATAAACAGTTTATACATCTCCCTCTCCTTTCTATTCTAAGTAAACTTGAGAGATCACAATATATATACATTTTTAGATAGTAACATGGAATATTTTCAAGCCACTCTCCTTTAGGATATATGTGCTGCTATTACAGATGGTTTGGAGAGACAGATATTATTTATTAAACAACATTTTAATGCAGGCTGTCTTGTTCAGCAAAGTAAACTTGGTGTGGGGAAAAGAAAATCTCCCCTATCCGCTCTTAGAAAGATGCAGGTAATATTCTGTCTGATCAAAGGACTAGCCAATTTACTTCTGACCACATCCTTCTCTGACAGTGAATGCAATGAAATATAAGCCTGCAGGCACATAGTAGAGTAAAAATATTTTTAGATTTTCAATCCCCTGGCTGGATACAACCATATTAAATATAGATTACCTTTTATGACTACAGATAAAGCTGAATGAAAGAAGGAAAGAAGTCACTGAGTAAGAGAAGTGCAGCAAGGAAGGTATATCATGTAAGCTGTAGACAGTACAATATAAAGCTAACATATATGTTCATCATATGAAGCAGAACAATAAAGACTGTATTTCAGGGGTAGATATTCTGATAGCAAACATTTATGAATGTATTCTTACCCTGATTACATGACTGAACCACCCTTAAAATTGCAAGGCTGGGTTTGTAAAAGTCCTTCAAACATTACAAGATGCATACCCAGCCAACTTACATTTACATAGCCACATCTTGGGATATGGAGAATAAAAACAAAAAACTGTATTTAATAAAGTTGTTGAACTTGTAATTTTGAGAACTCAGTGGCATTTGCACTAACTAAGCAAAAGTTTGGTTCCCTTGACCAGCCAAGCAAAATGAAATAGTACTATTTTGATAAAGGATTCCAAATAGAGCTTGTTATTTTTAACAGCAAGAGAAGTTGATGTTCTATTTAATTTTTTTTCTCTTATCAGCTTAGATATGTTTATTTGGCTTTTTATTGAGACTTCATGCCATCTTCCTTTGTTACAGACAAAAGTTGTATTTTCAGCAGTGTATTTGCCTTTAGCATGAAAATGCAGATCGAGCAAACAGCAATATAATTCCATTCTGAAGGAGTTATGAAAGATGAAACTGTTCTGCTTTAGTGAGCAATTGCTGGGAAGGACAAGGTGCAATTGTGTGCACACTGAACAGTTCAGCAGTAGACAGGGAGAAAAGGGGTTGAGTAGCCCCAATTCTTCTCACAGAGCCTTGCTTTGAAGCCTTTCTGTCTACAGCATATTGCATACAGGATGGAATGAAGAAAAAGAAGCTGTTCCAAGCAATGGCTCACAACATGCTACTTTCAACAGAAGTAGCAAACCTTACCCACGATGATGCTTCTCTGACTAGTCCAGCATCCAAATCTACTGAGCCAATCCAGAAACCTCTTTTCATTTATAAATCCAAATCCTTTTTTGTATACACTAATGACACAACAAATTAAAACACAATGACAGAGAGAAAAAACAACCACTCAAGGCTCCCCGCTCTTTAGACACATTCATCTGCGATACATACATCAATCATCTCTTACAGAAAGAGCTACAGCTCGTACTTCCAACACAGCAGTAATAACAAGGTGCCTAACTTGACAGCCAGTGGGATTATAAAAGTACTGTATAAAAAAAAAAAAAAAGCCAACCCATTTTAAAGAGTATTATTTTATTTAAGACTTTCTGTTTAAGAAAAAAACAAAAACAAAAAACAGTTCTTCTTGAAACGGCATGGCAGAATTCTGAAGCACAGATCAGCTGAGAGACAGGGATGGTTCTCAGTGCACACATCTCCAACTAGAATTTTCTACAGGATCAACACTGCTATTTAGCAGTGGCTGATTGAACTTAAGAGTCAGTGCAGTTTGCACACTGCATAGAAACAAAAAAAACAGTCAAGTTCAATATTCTTCTGCTGATGAAGATGGGCCATTTGGGTTGAAATTCTATACTGAAGATTAATGTCCTTTTTTGTAAAGGAAGAATCATTAAATAATACTGAAACATCTACTGCTGCAGTAGCTACTAGCACTGGTGTTTAAAATACTTCTAACTTGTGGTTCTATTTCTGGCTTTTTTTTTTTCCTCTTGTTTGAAATTTTGAAATTGTTCACAGCCAAAAGAGGGAACTGAAGTAAGCTTTTAAATTATCTGCACAGAAGAGAGATGGCCAACTTTTGAAGATCTAAGGAGTTAAGAACAATGTAAGCATACAAAGCCTGTTTGATTACAGAGGAATAAAACTGCCTGTGATTGATGAAGTGTCATATACTTTCTCTAAAAAGGAGAAGTCTTCCAACTTGTGGAAATTTTCAATGCTTTATGGTATATAGGATATAGAGCATAATCCTTCAGCTCTTGTAGTAAACTTTGCAAAATTTCTCTCTTAAAATGTCTTCTCTTACAACTTCATTTTGGCTAGAACAGCACGCCAGATGCATCCCCCCAGCTTCATCACACTTCCAAAGAAAACAGGTCTCAGCATAGTAAAATTCTATTTGCAACGGTCTCTGCCTGGCTCTGAGCTCTTGGTTTTTGCTTTTTCCTTCCCAAAGACTGCTACGTTATCCTTTCTGTTACTGTTAAATCTGCTACCAAGTCTGGCTGACGGGAGGTTCATTTGAAAACCTTACTGGCTATGAAGAAGACATAATCCTGTTCATCTTCAACACTGGTATAAACCAGCTGGAGTCAGTAGGCAGGCACTGGCTCATTCCAGGGCTGAATTTGATACTTTGTGTTTACATTCTTTCACCATTTGAAACAAATGTTTATTTAAAGCTGATTGAGGTAAGAGCTGACACAGTGTGCCATTTACATCATCAGTGACTTTGCCACTCCATCTCAGCAGGTTTTACTTTGAAGAAGCAAAAATAGCTTCATCAGACAAAGAAGGAAAATCTTATAGCTCTGGTTAATCAGCAGCAGTCTGTGGAGAAAACAGCAAAGTAATGAAATCTCCATTTCTGAATAATTTTACTTGGGAAGCAGTCAAATTTCGGCATAAATTAATTCTGAGCATCCAGCTCTGTTTTCAGACAGAATGCTGAATCAATCGAGTGCTGAAGTTAAATTCACAGCTCCTCCTGGCATACTTTTTAGGGTAAGGCATTGAACAGGTACAGAGCAGATCCATTAGGTGTAAAATAAAAAATACAGTCACTGACATACGGACTTTATTAACCTTATCTTCTCAATACTCTAAATTCCAGTGGTCAATATACTGGAAGGCTTACAGAGGTAAATACATTTAGATATTCATTTCCCTCTCTGTCTGTCAGAACTTGCAGCATCAGAGCATTCCTGCAATTCACCTCCTGAC